TGAACCCATGAAGTGTGAGGTCATGACCTGATCCAAAATGAGGAGTCGGACACTTAACCAACTGAGCCACCCAGGCACCCTGAGCTGCGTGTGTGTGTGTGTTTGTTTGTTTAAACAAGCATAATAGGTAAGTAGTTAAGAGCACAGATGCTAGAGATAGAATGCCTGATTTTAATCCTGGCTGTGCCATTTAGCCTAACAATGTCCCTTCCGTAAGTTATTAGTTATAAAAGGTTCCTCTTTTATAAAATGGGAGTTGTATTATTTACCTCATAGAGTTATTGAGAGAATTAAGTTTGTTTCCGTATGTAAAGTGCTTGGAATAGTGACCGCCACACTATCTAATTCTTACCTAGAATAATTTGCTTCAGGGTCTCTGATTAAATTTCTGATCTCATGAAAACAAGATGTACTGTAAGGTAAGAACACTGGGGCTCTAATACAAAATCCTGGCTCTCACAGTAAAGTCAGCTACAGAAAAGAAAACCTTAAGAAAATTGTAAGAGAAAAACATTTACGGTGGTGTGTCACAGACATTCAGTGAGCCTGTGCAGTTCAAATCTGTGTTGTTCAAGGTGAAGTGAAATTTAACTTTAGCAGATATGAGAGTTTCTAGGTGTGTCACATCTTTACCAACACTTAGTATTAGATCTTATTTTTTTTTAATTTTTACTTTTTGTGGGGGAGAGACAAGTCGGGGAAGGGCAGAGAGAGGGGTACAGAGGATCTGAAGCAGGCTCTTCACTGAGAGGCTGACAGCAGCAACCCTGATGTGGGGCTCGAACTCACAAACCATGAGGTAATGACCTGAGCTGAAGTTGGGCACTCAACCGACTGAGCCACCCAGATGCCACAGTATTGACCTTTTTAATTTCAGCCATGCTGCTGTATGTAGTTGTACCTAATTGTTTTAATGTGAATTTTCCTGAGGACTGAACCCGAGATCTTGTCATGTTTATTGACCCTTTGGCTATTATCCTATATGAAAAACATATTATTATTATTATTTTGAGAGAGAGAGAGAATGCACAGGGGAGGGGCAGACAGAGAGGAAGAGAGGGGCAGGGGAGAAGGGGAGGGAGAGGGAGGGAGGGAGAAGGAAGGACAGGAAGGGGGTGGGGGGAGGGAAGGGAGGGAGTGGGGGAGGGAAGGAGGGATGGAGGGATGGAGAGAGACAGAGAGAGAGACAGACAGAGAGAGACAGACAGAGAGAGAGAGAATGAATGCCAAGCAGGCTCCACACCCAGCGCTGACCCTGATGCAGGGCTCAATCTCACAACTACAAGATCACAACCTGAACTAAAAATCAAGAGTTGGCTGCGTAACCAACTGAGGCACCCAGGGCCCCCTGAAAAGCTTATTTAAATCTTTTGTTTTAAAAAATGGGTCTGATGGTCTTTTTGATGTGCCCCCTAGTTTAGAGTCCCATTATTCAGCCAAATGCGATTGTAGGTGTTGCTGTGAAGGTATTCTGTAGACGGTTTTAGGTCAATCAATTTGCTTTAAGTAAGGGGGATTACCGTGGATAATCTGTGCATGACTGATTCAATCAGTTCCCAGACCTTAAAAGCAGGACAGAGACTTCCTTGAGAGAATTAAAAACTCAGCTTTCGGGGCATCGGTGTGGTTTCTGGCTCGCCCGCCCTGATGGATAGATATACTTGGGTTGTCTTTTTCTTACCAGCTGTAGGAATTCTTTAGACATTCTGGATATGAGTTCTTTGTTGGTATTAGGCACTGCAAACATCTCTCTGTGGTTTGCCTTTTCATGATCTTAACGGTGCTTTTGGATGAAAAAATTTTCTGATTTTAATGCACAACTTATCAGTCTTCCCATTAATGGTGTTTTTTATGTTCATGTAACAAATCTTTGCCCACCCGAAAGTCAAACATATTCCCTATGTTATCTCCTCTTTCACCTTCCTTATTTGTATCTATAGTCCATGTGGAATTGACTTTGGTGTATGGTGTGAGGTATGGGTCATTTTGCTAATTCTGTACAGTAAAGGTTCACTTAAAATGTTTAATATTTAGACAGTTTGGACATACAAAGTATTTAGCATTGTTAGTACAGGATTTTCTGAGTGTGATTACATATGAAGAACACAACAGTATGAGTATTTCTATCTCTTTAAAAGCAGACCTGCCTGATAAAAATTTTTTTTAAAAAATGGAGGACCTGGCTGACTCACTCAATAGGGCATGTGACTCGATCTCTGGGTTGAGAAAAATTAAAAAAAAAAAAAAATTAAAAGCTAAAAATTAAGGGATAAAACTGTTAAAATTCATTATATTTTTTGGTGTCCCTGCTCAACTACCCCTAAGACCTACCTCTATGATTAAATGCTAGAAACATATTGGCTTCAGGGCGCCTGGGTGGCTCAGTCAGTTGAGTGTCCGACTTTGGCTCAGGTCATGATCTCACGGTTTGTGGGTTTGAGCCACGTGTCAGGCTCTGTGCTGACAGCTCGCTCAGAGCCTGGAACCTGTCTTTGGATTCTGTGTCTCCCTCTTTCTCTGACCCTCCCCTGCTCACGCTGTCTCTCTCTCTCTCAGAAAAAAAAAAAAAAAAAAAGAAAAGAAAAGAAACATATTGGCTTCTCCAGATGAACATATATTTATGAGATTGAGAACCTAATTTTACTATGCTACTCTTTCATGCTTAAGCTATTGGGAAACTATGTTTCCTTATATTTTTTCTGATCGGCTCAGGCTCTGAAAGGTGATGTTTGCTTAATGACTATATTTATCATATAGTTTTCATACAAAATGCATGTGACTTGGAGCCACAGATATTTGGATTGAAATGCCAAGTTTGGTATTCATTAGTTCTTGACCTTAGGTAATTCATTTTTGCAAAATGGGGTTTTAAAAAAATTATTTCTCATGCTTGTGAGGTTTAAATGAGACACAAAGCATACTTAGCAATGTAGTACATGAGACACATGTTTAAATAAGATACAAAGCATACACTTAGCACTGCAACTGGTACAGAGTAGGAACTCAAAAAAGTAACCATTATAATTAATTTATCCTTACTTTAGAATTTTGAATCTATATGAAGCTTTCATTTTTTTCTTTTTTTCTTTTTGGAAGTAGGGTGGAAACTAAAGTCACATTATATAATGACTAAATAAAAAGAGATTAAAATCAGGATGGGTTAAGTGGGGAAGAGGCATTAAGGAATCTACTCCTGAAATCATTGTTGTACTATATGCTAACTAACTTGGATGTAAATTAAATAAATAAATTTAAAAAAAGAGATTAAAATCTTTAGTGAGAAAAATAATTTTTAAAAATCTAGGTTTTTGCCAAGAACCTGACTCTACACAGAACACACTGAGGGTCACCAGAGGGGAGGTGGGGGCAGGGGATGGGGCCACAGGTGATGGGGGTGAAGGAAGGCACTTGTCCTGATGAGAAGAAAATAAATGAAAAAACCAATTTAGATTTTTATAGATAACTATAGATTAGAGTTTAGTTTAGAGTCCTTGTATTTAGCTGATATGACTTGTGTCCATTCAGTTTAAGAACAGTTTGGGGGATGACCAAGCACCAAGTGATGAATTACAAAAAAAAAAAAAAAAAAAAAAAAAAAAAAAAAAAAAAAAAAAAAAAAAAAAAAAAAAAAAAAAAAAAAAAAAAAAAAAAAAAAGCCCTCAGTCCTTAAAATCTCACAGTCTAATTAAAGAAGAGTTTGAATATTAAAATTTAAACTGACTCCTTCTTTAAATAATTTTAGTATTTATTCATACTTTTGGGAAAGGAGAAGAATTGCTTTTCTGATTTTTTTTCCCAAGTCCTATCTACTTCTCAATAGGCAACTGATTCCTACTGGAAGGAAAATTTATGGCCTTCTAGTTCATTCTGGCAGAGGAAAAGAGCTTCACCAGGAGTTGACCAGCTATTAAGGGTGATAGCATTTTATAGAGAACTTATTTTCAAAAATGTTTAAAGGAATGCTATCATTTTTCTCCCATAAGATATGGGAAGCCAGCGAACATAAGATATGAAAGTAGAGCTGCTGTGGCGCACCTGGGTGGCTCAGTTGGTTAAGTGTCCAACTTCGGCTCAGGTCATGATCTCGTGGTCTGTGGGTTCAAGCCCCACATCGGGCTTTGTCCTGACAGCTCAGAACCTGGAGCCTGCTTCAGATCCTGAGTCTCCTTCTCTCTCTGCCCCTTTCCTGCTCATGCTCTGTCTCTCTCTGTCTCTCAAAAGTAAATAAACGTTAAAAAAAATTAAAAAAAAAAAGTAGAGCTGCTGCTCTTCTGGAAAGGGAGCAGGAAGTTCAGGGACCACCTATGATTAGCTTGTAACTACTCAATTTAATAATTTAAAGAAAAATGAAATAAAGTATTATAATGATATTTACCTATTTAGAATAATTAAAAAACTATTTTGCATTGTGCTTATTTTGACAAAAATTTTGACTATAATACTGGGGTAATGTAATGACAAAGTGATATGGGAAAAGAATCACACCCCAGTCTTCGTCTTCTCTCTTTTAAACTAACAAGAAAGCCACAGGAAAAAAATGGAGGCTGGGAAAAGTTTCTAATTTTAGTTGAGCAAATGTTGGGACATTCTCTCAAAAGTTTCAGCTAGACAGACAAGAATAGAATATTAAGGGAGATTAGTAATTTTTATTTATTTTAAAAAATATTTATTTTTGAGAGATAGAGAGAACATGAGCAAGGGAGGTGCAGAGAGAGCGGGAGACACAGAATCCCACGCAGGCTCCAGGTGCTGAGCTGTCAGCACAGAGCTCTACTTGGGGCTCGAACTCCTGAACCGTGAGATGATGACTTGAGCCAAAATCAGATGCTTAACCAACTGAGCCACCCAGGTGTCCCATGAGATCATTTTTGTAAGGCTAAGTTACTATTTAATATTATATCTATTGGGTGTACACGGCCATACCTCAATGAGAAAAAAATTTCACATGAATTTAAAAAGGTGTACAATTTATCTATAAAAATATGTAAGTGTATTCTTACCAGCAGTCTTGGCATTTTGACCCAGAATATCGTTTCGTCTCTTCCGCAAAGGAACAGATTCTCGTTTAGCAGTTCTAAGAGTCACGTTGTGATGACTTTCTTCATACACAGGACATCTGTGGGTGCAGTGAAACCTCCCACCTTGCTGGGCAACCATCTGCATGCCATTTGAATGATTGATGTTTGCTAAAGTTGGGCACTCGGAAGAACAATGTGGCAGAGAAGGCATCGTAGTGGCTAAGTCCGAACAGACATCTGAGAGTGGAAAACGACTTTCTTGATTCCACTGATTTAACCCGTGTTCTGTTGGAAGCACAGGTTTGGAATTAAAACAGTTTTGTGTCATAACGTTTTGAGAATTTTCAAGCGTTACTGAGGGACACTGAGACACCTGTGTATTGTTACCACTCCTCCTGTTTGACGGGGACTTCGGAGGAGGATGAGGCACAGTCAGTCTGCCCTGAGCCGGTAAAAATGCGTCGGCTCTGCTTGCGGACTGCGGCCGAACGACAGTGCCTTTTCTGGTGGCACACGCCAAGTGTGACTGGACTTGAGCACATCGTGTTCTCCTAATTACTTTGGCGCCCCCTCTTCGTGGGTGAGCTTTCTGAGCTGTAGAATCACCACTAGGTAGAGGGGCTTGGCTTTCCTCTTTTTCTGAGGCTGGCCAGGCTTGTTTGGCAACGTTACAACCTGAAGGTACGAGACGGTTCAGAGGCACATGGTCTGTTCCAGGTTCTAAAGCGGGCACGTTTTCAGAGCTGGAGCCCTCTGTGGGCTTCGTTCCCTCAACCGAACTCACAGGACCGGCTGCAACGTCAATTACGTGGCTGGCAGCACCACTTCCGGTCTGAACGTGGAACGGTTGACACCACTGTTGAGATAGTTCTGTTCTCTTCAGCGAATGATTATCTGCAGCGGGTTTTTCTGTATCTCCAGTTTCATCAAACCACCTCAGTTTTTTAATAGTCTTTGGAATTTCTGTACCTTTTTCTTTTGTTAATTCAATACTATCTCTAATAGCTGCTGCTCTTTGATTTCCTAACTTAAAGCTTCGGTTTATAACTAGTGCCTTAAAACAATCATGTTCGTATTTAGATTCTTTTTTTAAAATACTTTTAAGAAACCTCACACCGTTTCTCTCATGAATGTTGTATTTCATTTTCTTGTGCTGACTGACTAAGTCACAGTTAGAGATTACGTGAGACACTGATGTTGATGTTTCCACTATTTTTTGTTTTTTCTCTTTTGAATCAGAGTGGTGAGGTATATAGGCAACTTGAAAATCATCTGAAAATAAAGGCAAGTCTTTCTTATTACAATTAAAATATTTTATCTTCTCATCTTTAACATTTTTCAATTCTCCTAACTTATCAGAACACTGCACTGGGTCGATTTCTTTTATAGGTAGGCTGCTGTTTGGTAGAGGCCTAGCTGATTGTTTATTAGGCAAAACCAAAGGCGTTGCCATGGGTACAAATGAAGTAGGGATTGAAGTAGTTCTATTTTCCTGTGCTAATTCAAAATTTCCCCTCTGGTCTGCAGATGCAGCCGTTTCCTGTGTTAGGGAGTCTGGAGTGGAGCAGTTAGAGAATCTGCTGAGTTTAAATGTCGGGCTCTCAGTAACAAAGGGTCTCTCCCTTCTGAACGCTCCAGAGGAGGAGTGAGTTGCCCTCACAGAGCTGGTTTCAGAGACCTCTTTGCTTTTTCCGTCTTGTACACATATGGGCGGACTGCACACAAAGGCTACTGAATTATTAGTATTTGTGACTCTTTCCACAGGTGGATTTTGTTCTTTACTGTTAAAACGTTGATGGGAAGGTAGAATGTTAGGTTTACTTAAAATATCTGAGAAAGGTGTGGCACTCCGAGTATCTGGATTATTTACATTTATGAGCCAATTATTTATATGTTGAGTTTTAGAGAGTGATAGTTTATCTTCATCAAAGCAGCTTAGATTAGTTGACTGCAGATTTACTGACTTGAGAGAAACAGAATTCTGTTGGTTTGACAGGAAAGGCTCCATGTTAATTGTTAAATATATTTCTTCATGTTCCCCAGCCTCGAGACTATCTATACTTGAGAGGGTTTCAGAATTTGTTATTTGATTAACTTCATCACGAAATTTCTGAAAGAAAGAAAAAACATTGTTCTGTAGCTTAGAACTTTTCTAATGCCAAAATTAATGATTCAACACCCCACTGTTAACGAGACCTATTGTCCTTGGCATATAAAATAACTATAAACAGTGTAAGTATATAAATAATCTATATCCCTGGAGTAGTCCTCAGAGTGAAAAAGAGGGAGCCAACAAAGACTTATAATAAAGTGTGTTTGTCTTAATTTCTACTCCTAAAGTAACTACCAAATTATTCTAGCCACAGTTCTAGCTTAGAAAGTAATTTTGCTATTGCTATTCCATTTGGATTATTGAGTTTCTACAAAGTTTCATAATAGCAAGTGAAATTCTGAAAAATTGTTATTTACAGATGGTATTTTTTCCCTGTCCCTGAAACCTTCGCTGGACTTGAATGAGGTCCCTAAAGCTCTGTGACTCAAATGAGAGCATCCTGTTGGTAGGGCTACATCTTTATATAAGAGTTAATCTGTGGCCAATGCAGTCAAGTTCTCCACTCTGGCTGCATATTACAATCACATAAAGAGCTTTGTAGAAATAACTAGGCCTGGGTCCTGCTGATTTAATACTGGGATAGGGTTCATGTATTGGTATTTTTAAAGTTCCCCAGGTAATTCTAATGTGGATATAGAATTGAGCATTCTTGATTTTAAGGGCTCCTTTTCTGAGGCTTAGAACAGTAATACTTTCTATGAATTTTATAGACATTCTCATCACTGTTTCAATGAAATTTCATGGAACTTAACAGTCTTTAATAAAATTTTACGATTACTTCAAAGTTTGTTTAAAGATATTTCTAATTTCTCACATATACCTAGAATGCATTGATCTGTATCACATATCAATAAATATATTCAAGAGGATTTTAGATTGTAAATCCTAGTCAAAAAGTTAAATGGACTCCAAAGGAAGGAAATTACTGTCCTCAAAGACTTTTCATGAAGTTTAGAAAATTTAAATATTCTGATCCTAAGCAAAAAATATACTATTTTTCTAGCCCATTAAATAAATGAAGAAACTCAGGAAACTAATTACAGAATAAAAATATTTTAGTTTGCATAGTTGATGCTTATTGATATATTATCATGAAATAAGTTTTGAAAATGATTCATGAGAGTTTGATATTGCTAGCATTTACCCCCTACGTCTCACATCCTAAAGGACTTTGGGGTCTTTTTAAAGTGATGGTCAGTCACTAGCCTAATCGGGAGAGCAGAAACAGAGCTTAGCTCTTTGCCTGCCTGTTTCTGCAGATGAGCTGTTTTAACAGATAATGATAAGGAAACCTGGGAGGGCTTCCTTTGATTTTGAAAAATATTTATTTAAAAATAAGATTTCGGGAGGGTTTCCTTTGAGCTTATATGTAATAAGATGTAGAAATTGGGTTTGAGCATGTTTCTAGATGTGTGATATTCGTGGCTCTAAGATTTCTGTTCTTAGAGATCTGTGATGGCCTCATACCCCAAAAACACCTGGAAGGAAGTTTAGTAACTTCTGATTTCACTAAACTACGTTTTCCCCCCAGATTTTTCCTCATAACTAAGAAATGAAACGTTAAGATCAGCTTCAACTTCTGCTTGTAAGTTACTGATATAAACTGTACTATTTTTGTCTTTTAGTATTTTTGGGTTTCAGTTTTAAAATTAACCTTATTGAGGTAAACTTATTTACTAAACGTGCCCATATATACAGCTTGATGGAATTTGATGCACTGTTCACCCATACCCACCATATCAAACAATGGCAGTCTGTACCCGTCCCCACTAACCACCAGCAATCTGCTGTCACTGCAGAGCTGAGTTCTCATCTGGTATCATTCTCCTTCTGCCTGAAAAACTTCCAGTGGCATTTCTTCTAGTGCAGGTGCTGGTATAGTGCAGTGGTGTTCAGCTTGTTTAAGATGCCTAGTTTGCCTTTGTTCTAGGATACTATTAGCTGGATACAGGATTCTAGGCTGGAGTTTTCTGCTCTCTCTCAGAACTTTAAAAATGCTTTGCTACCTTCTGGCCTGAAGTTAGTCTGTCTTATCTTTGTTCACCCACATGTGTGGATCTTTTCCCCTCCTAGGTAAATTTTTCAAAATAATTTAAATGAGTACAGTTGACACACACAATATTACATTGGTTTCAGGTGTACAACACAGTGGTTCCACAAGTCGGCACGTGATGCCATGCTCACCACCAGTGTGGCCATCCCCGTCCCCACACAAAGCTCTCACACTGCTGACTACACTCCCTGTGTTGTGTAGCTGCACTGAATGGTGATGTGCCTTTGCAGGGCATGTGTGTGTGTGTGTGTGTGTGTCTGTGCGCACATGTGTGCATACTTCTCCTTTGGGGAGCTTGCTGAGCTATTCTGATCAGAGGATTTACAGTTTTACCAACTTTGAGACATTTTCAGCTATTATTTCTTTAAATACTCTCAGATTTTAATTAAATGTATGTTAGATCTTGTCTCAGGATTCTATTCATTTCCCCCCGCCAGCCTTTTTTCTCATAATGCTTCAATCTGGGTCATTTCCACTGCCATGTCTTCAAGTGCACTACTTTTTTTTTTTTTTTTTGATCTGTAATGCCTGCACTGTTAAGTCCACCCAGCAAAAATTTTCATTTCAAGTATTTTTCAGATCTAGAAGGTCTGTTTTGTTCTTTTAGAAATATTTTTTCAACAGAATCATTTTTACTTTAATTCTCTGAAAATATTTATAAAAAATGGCTTTAAATTCCTTTCCTGTTAATTCTTTCATCTCTGCCCTGTGGGTCTCTGACTATTTTGACTAATTTCTCTCCTGGATATGGGCCCTGTTTTCCTTTTTTTTATTGAAATGTGTCTGTTAAGTTTTGAGCGAATATTGGGCATCATGAACATTATGTTGTCTGACGAGATTTTAGTCTTTAAGAAACAGAGAGGGGGTTAGCTGTGGATTGTTTTGAGGCTTGTCCAGAGAATATGTCCAAGTTAAAGCCTAAGTGATTATAGGGCTCCTTTCATTCGTTTTCCTGTTTTTGAGATCATATCCGATACTGCCTGTTGTCTAATGTGTAAACACAGCTCTTTCAGATACTTTATTCAGAATTATGGTTATTTACAGAAGGAAGGCATTTCATCACAGCCAGAAGTGGTCTCCTGCTTTGCTGTTTTTTAGCCTTGTCACTATTGGATGACTAGTTATTGGATAAATCAGGCCAAGGTTATGAATTTAGTCTTGATATCAGCCTATTAAGAATCTCATAAAGGTGTGTAGTTACTCATAAAAAGTAAAGTGTATGAACATCTCAGGAAAATCAGCTGAAACCCATACTCATTTGTGGGGAAAGAAAACAAAGTGAATGCCTGACCAGAGAGAGAACAGAAATGACATTTCCAGCTAATTGTGACATATTTTCATTAAGAACCTAATGTCCACATGTATTATAATTTCCAGGATGCTTTTTATAATCCAGTCTCTAACAATGATACTCATGTTACATTTTACTTTAAATAGCTTTCATGTTTGATCCAAAAATAACACTCATAAAGCATATTTTTCCAAATATGAGAGATGGCAAAAGAAAAGAGAAAGCAATAGAGTGAAAAATGAGCAAAAGGTAGAAAAACCTAAAAAATTATTTCTGTAGTATCTGTGATGAATTTGTGATGATTCACCCATGTGCTATCCTTGGTGAATGGCATACTTTTCTTAGTATAGAATACTGCACAGATGGGACAGAATTATTACTCGATATTAAAATATTAAGATTTATAGTTTCATACTTGCAAACTGCTTAGATGCTGATCTTCTAGGAGTTTCTGAGTTTCTTCCAGTTTAAGCTGGAACGCATCTTTGTTAGTAGCCATGTTTGCCCTGTTGTTTTCCTTCATTTCTTTATCACAATTGATTTTGGATAAGAGAAGTTTCTGATGCTTGTGACCATTTTTTGACAATGATGAAGGCAAGGCATTATCTACAGCTCTGTGAACCATACATAAAAAATATTTAGTACATTTAAATAAAGTTAGCTTCTCTATATATAATGACATATTTATGTTTGCTGCGTGTGTGTGTTCAGATAATCACGTATACGGACATTGGAATGGGAGTTTAAGGCAGTCAATAGTGCAAATAAAAATGGTTATGGGATTATAGTGCCAATAAAGCACCCCACCTTGAGGTAGGAATACCCAATTATTCATGGCTTTGATGATTAAATCCTATTCCTCTATTGTTCAGGACAGAGGTAGAAGGAATTCCTGTAGATATGTAGAGTCAGTCCTTAGTTCTTTAAGAGCATCCTATCTGGATAAAAATATGCTGTATTACCCTCAGTTCTGAGTTGATGTGATAGCTGGTAGGTATTCCTATAACCCAAATAAAGTTGGTTGAGGATTCAAGCAGACAGAATATATGAAAATTGCCCATCAGAGGAGGCAGGAATTTCCATCCTACTTTACTGGATGTGGGAGCCTGGGTCTTACTCGATGGAGAGTATACACACTTGTTTGCAAACGTAAGCATGGTTTTCATACCACGGAAAGGGTATCTTTAGTGTAGGGTCTACTATTAGTGTGCAAGTGCCACCACAAATTATCAGTGGATGACATCACCTTCTATTAGAATTCTGCATCTTCTGGAAACTTACAGCATGTTCGATTTTAGCATATGCACACGGTGAAAAGCACAGAACAAAGGAGCACTGCTGCATTATAGCCAGTGGAGTGGATCCCAAGGGATTTATTCCCAATTCGCTTGAATTATTCCCCACTGAGTGAGGATAAAAACGTTTGCAGGATACACGGCCACAGGTAACATATACCTATCTCCAATACGCATATATGTCTTTATTTGGACAAATGGAATAGTAAGGGCCTAGATTCCTGACTACCCTCTTGCACCACAGGGAGGGTATTTAATGCAAGCTGCTGAGCACTGAGAGTATGTTTCTCTCTCTTCCTTGTCGGCTTCCTCTCTCACAGACTCCTTCCCCTTCAGTCACCCTTCCCAAACAAAATACTGCTAAATCTACAAAATATCTGACAAACTCAGTTTATTTACCTTTAGGGTTGACGTCTCTCAACTTTTTCTTCTCTATTTCTTTCTTCTCTACTCCACTCGCTTCTCTCCTCTTCTCTACTTCCTTCCCCCAGGGAGGAGGGTGAGGGGATGAACAGGAATGAGAGACGGAGAGGCAGGGAGCGAGGGAGAGGGAAGCACGGAGGGAGAGGAGGAGGAAACAGGACAGACTGGGGAGGGGAAATCTAAGCACGCTGGAGGCAAGTCCGGAGAGGGAGCCGAGCGCAGGGGTGAGGAGAAAAGAGGGGTGGGTGAAGCGGGTGAGGACGGAGAGGGGGGAGAAGGGAAGGGGGAGGGCGTGGACGCGGAAGGTGAGCCGGCGGAGCGGCGGGGGGCCGGGGGGCGGGGGCCGGGGGCCGGCCGCGGGGCCGAGCGCAGCGGGTCGAGGCTAGCGGGGCGCCCGCGGCCCGGGCAGGCGTGGGGCCGGTGAGGGGGGTGACCGGGGGAGCAGGAGGGCTCCAGAGCGGGGAGGGCGTCCGGGGGCGCTGGGCAAACCAGCAGGCGGGCCGGGAGGGAGCGGCGAAGGAGCGCAGGCGTTGGGGCGAGGCGTCTGGGTCTGAAGGTTCTGGAGAATAACTTGCCCTGCGAGTCAGGATCCGGGGGCACGAGGCCGGCGCGACTCCGGGGGGGCTGGGGCCCACGGGCCGGCAGACGCGGGAGGCCGCTGGAGGCGCCGGCGGTTACTGGGGCTGGAGGGTGAGGCGGGTGCCGGAGCGGGGAGGGCGGTAAGGGCGCCGGCAGAAAGGACTTCGGGGGAGCGGAGGGGCCGGCCGGGCGGACAGGCGGGGTTCGGGGCTGGCAGGGGGCGGAAACAGCGGCCCGGCTAGCGGGGATCCGGGAGCGGTGCGAGGGCGGCGGGCCAGGCAAGCCGGGGCAAGGGGTGGGGGCGGCCGGGCGGGCAGGGATGGATCTGCACGGGTGGAAAAGCGTTTGGGCAGGCAGGCAGAGAGACAGCCTCATTACGATGCGTTTTGTCCTTGACGTGCAGTAGGCTGTCTCTAGGCTCTGGATTCGTATCACACTTCTGTCCTGAGGGTCCACGCATGACACTCTTCTCATCACCCAGCGCCCTCTCACGCGTGGTCAGAACTGTGGGGAGCTCATTCACGAGCCCTTATCTCGTAAGAGTGCTTTCACCCCTTACAGGCCTGACTGTCAACCAGATGACGAACATGGGCCAGAAAATCTGACTTAAGGTACTGGTATGAAGGGAAAACAGAGGTCAAATGGACCCCAGCTCAGCTCTGGCCAGATTTCTCAGGGTGGCACGTGGTTCAGGATCACCTGTCTCACCACAGATACATGGATATTGGAGATAGATATCTAACATCATCGTTTTAAAGTATAAAACTTTAATTTTGGGGAAATACAGCTTCTTTTGCCTTACATCTACCAGAAGATAGAAGTATGTTATCCTTGTGATAAAGATTTGCTTGGGATGGAAGGCTGATTACTTGTATTTTTAATGTTAGTTCCTTATTAATTTTCTTTATCTCATTACTTCCTGGGCAACTTCTATTTTCATATGGGTAAATTTCTCTAATTGTTCTTGATGCTTCAGCACTGAATGCCTTCCAGTTTTTCAAATAATTTTTTTCCCTTTAGATTATCACATTACCAACATCTTAAATTATTTTTATCTGCCACTGTTTTCCACATTAGAACAATTGTTTATGAGACTCATAGAATCAGTTTCCTTGGATGCTCCCTGCTTCTTGGCATTACTTTATTCCTGAACACATTTTAGGTTCATATTCCACATACAATATAGTTTTGATGTGATAATAGCTTATCAATATTTGTAGCTTAATCATATTTTCAATAAATAGTACACCTAAGTATTTCTATTAACACCTGGTCCTCAATATTCTGATATTTCACATTTATACAGCATTTTATAATTTAAAAATCCTTTTCACACATATTATTTAATACTCTTGTTTTCTGTGGAGAGAAATTCATCTTTTTAATAAGTAAAGCCATAGTGTTCTCTCTGTAAATTGTATACATTTGTTGTTTTCTAAATATGTAACATTCATGTGTGTATGTAAGTGTATATATAGAGATAGACAGGTACAGATGTCATGAAGTCATGGTCAAAAGAGTATATTCCAATAATAAATGAAAATGAGGTACTCTAATTTAGAACAGAAATCATATCTCATAAAACAAAAATGACATGTGCTATTTAATGTCCCAGCCCAGACCGGGTGCAGCGCTAGCTGTGTTTGCTACAGGGAAATCCAAGTTATTCTGACACTTCATCTCTTCTAAGACTCTAAGGAACTGTACACTGTTGAGCAAAAAACGTCTAGCCTTTCAAGTACTAAAGAGCTCTTTTTATTGAAAAGAACTGGTATCACAAAGGGTAACAAATGATATGTGGAAAGAGAAACCTGTGAGTGAGGAAAACCTGTATACAAAAATGCGTATTATTTTTATTCTAAACGACTTGGATTTTTTATGACTCTAAATTCATCCTGGGCCCTAAAAGCCCCGTAAATACCTGTCATCTTCCCTTTCCCGTGAGGACTGTGGCGAGGACTGTGAAATTCTATTGCCGTCCCTGCCTCCACCCCCACGTGTCCCTCAGCCGCTGCCAGCGGCCTGGACCTCTGTCGCCTGGGGGCCCAGCTCTCCCTGTGATTAACGCGCTGAATGAAGAGCTGCAAACACAGACACTGGAATCCCCTGGTCTGCATACCATCGCTCTCCCGGGTGTTCCTTCTCACAGTCTTTCTTCAGCCCCTCTCTTTACTTGTCCTTTATATGCTGGATTTTTTTTATAGTAAACTTGAATTTTTTTCAACGTCATTCACTTATATTTCTTAGAATGGAAGTATATATATTGTTCACCAATAAATGGTTAATGCTTTAAATTTACAATTATTCTATTTGCAGAAACTTGAAAATTATTCCAGTTAAATGAAAAAGTGTACAAAAATGTTTTGTTCTTGCAATTCAAAACGTATTTTAAAATAACGTTTTTATAGTAGCCAAAACCTGTACCCAAAACTTGACGGGGGCAGTCTCATAAGCTGAACAAAGTGGCCACATTCTGACTTAATATCTTGATTATCATCAGTCGGGGAAGAAAAGACGGTAGCTCTTACACTGCAGCTACTAGTATAGTCTCCCTTCTGGGTCCTCAGAGCTGGATCCTGGATTATTATTTTATTTTGTCTGTTCACACATAGACAACTGCTCAAACTTTGAAGGAAGTTTAGGGGTGCCTGGGGGCTCAGTCCATTAAGCGTCCCACTCTAGGACAGGTCAGGTCATGATCTCATGGTTCAGGAGATGGAGCCGCAGGCTGGGTTCTGTGCTGACAGCGCAAAGCCTGCTTAGGATTCTCTCTGTCCCTCCCCTGCGCACTCTCTCTCTCTCTCTCCCTGCTTAGGATTCTCTCTGTCCCTCCCCTGCGCTCGCTCTCTCTCGCGCTCTCTCTCTCCCTGCTTAGGATTCTCTCTGTCCCTCCCCTGCTCTCTCTCTCTCTCTCTGCTCAGAAAAAAAAGATTTAAAAAAAAAAGAAAGTTTAAATGGAGTTTTGGTACATAATACTGGTGATGCTTGCTGAGATTTAAGAACCCCCCAAAAGGGGAATCAGAAAACAACCCACAATTTAAAAAATACCCTGAGGGGCTGACTATTACACAGTGCAATCTGGTGTCCAACATCAATAGTGTTTTTCAATTAGATGATATTTTTCACAAACCACCTCATTAAGTACCCGGTAAACACTTTGCCATCACAATGAGTGTTGGGAGACTAAGTTCCAAAGAGAATGAGTCTGACTCGCTTGACCTAACGCTGCCGAGACAAAATCTCAAGCATAATCTAGACTCAGCACGCACGCTGCTGGTCTGCACGCCCGGAGGGGATGCTCATGCAGCCACTTTGCT